TTTATCAACACGGGCTGCTCTTCTAAAGTGACGGTCGACAATAATAACTAATAGAATGTAATCTCCTTCTTGTAGGAGTACATGTTCTGCTACTTCCAAAAAGTAAGAGGTGTTGCAGAGAGAGCGACTTTCTAATATTGCTGTCTGCCTTTCAACAAGACGGCGCCACATCTCCTGGAATCGGCCCCGGACATTATCCGATAGGCAAATTGACCAGGGTATGAGAAAAAATAAAAATTCCTTTTCTTATTATGGAAATAATATCTTAATGAAAGCCCTGATTCTTATTTAAAAGAACTTTTTACTAGGTGCCCCCCTTGGAAAAGAGAAATTAATCTTAATTTTACAGACTTTGCAAAAAACTCAAAGCGATTTTTGTGATATCTAGTTTTGGTTTCCTGAGAGTCCTCGACGTGGAGCTTTCGGTCTCAGGCTGAGACCGAAAGCTCCACGTCGGCACCGGAACGACCGGCGCTCTCGTTTGCAAACTCCATGGCCGTAGATCTTCATTGGAGAGTCTTCAAGCGGAAATGAGCCCCTGCCCATGATTCGAATGTGGGCATACCAAACCCTGGTAACCAGGGTGTATGGTCGACCAAGCGCTTCGGCAAAATTCGTACCCGGAGTTCTCGCAGGGAGGTGTTTTCACATGCATCCCTTGGCCAGAGAAAGTGCCCGTCCAATCACCACGATCACTTTGGAGCATGTGCTGCGGTGTATTATCTTGGCTCGCAAGGCATTTCAACACGGTGGAAGTTAAACGCAATAGCAAGAGTGATGGTCCCTCCTTTTTCACCTGCTTTTTGTAGGCTCAAAGCTAGGGGAGCCCGTGACACTGGCTACGTCGATCCTCGATCTTCGCCTATTGGCTAAAATCGTTTCGTACGTTGAAGACGATTTCATATTGCGAACCAGCACGTCCAAAACGTCGGCATCCTCTTAGGATCGCCCAGCTAGAAGCCATTCCGCAATTTGCCTCGTCGCTATCAGCGAAAGAAGTCCAGACGCAATACACATAGAAACCGCCATGTCGGAGCTCAATGTCAACGCCGCCAACGTCCGCGTGCTGGGCCACGTCTCGGATGCGTTCCGCCGCGTACTCACGCCCGATGCACTACGCTTCCTCGCCTTCCTGCATGAGCAGTTTGAGCCACGACGACATGCACTGTTGGCTGCGCGTGTACAGCGTCAGAAGGAGTTGGATGCCGGTGTGCTGCCGGACTTCCTGCCTGAAACCGCCTACATCCGCGAAGGCGACTGGAAGGTGGCATCTATCCCCGCTGACCTGGCTGACCGCCGCGTCGAGATCACGGGCCCTGTGGACCGCAAGATGGTTATTAACGCGCTTAACTCTGGTTCCAAGTGCTACATGGCCGACTTTGAGGACTCGACGGCCCCCACGTGGTTCAACCAGGTGGACGGCCAGGTAAACCTCATCGATGCAGCGCGCAAGACCATTTCGTACACGCACCCGCAGACAGGCAAGAAGTACGCGCTCAACGACAAGGTGGCAACGCTGCTGGTGCGTCCGCGTGGCTGGCATCTGGACGAGGCCCACGTGCTTGTGAGCAACCAGATCATGTCTGGATCGCTCTTCGACTTTGGCCTCTACTTCTTCCACAACGCACACGAACTGCTGGCGCGTGGCTCGGGTCCGTACTTCTACCTACCCAAACTAGAGCACCACCTAGAAGCCAAGCTGTGGAACGACGTGTTCGTGGCCGCCCAGAGCTATCTGAGCATTCCGCAGGGTTCCATCCGCGCGACTGTGCTGGTGGAGACCATCGTGGCTGTCTTCCAGATGGACGAGATCCTGTATGAGTTGCGCAACCACTCGTCGGGTCTCAACTGTGGTCGATGGGACTATATCTTCTCGTACATTAAGAAGTTCCGCAACCACCCCAAGTTCGTGGTGCCGGATCGCTCATCGGTTGGTATGACCACACCGTTCATGGCCGCCTACGTCAAGCTGCTCGTCCGCACGTGCCACCGTCGTGGCGCTCACGCTATGGGCGGCATGGCGGCTCAGATCCCCGTCAAGAACGACCCGGAGCTCAACAACAAGTTCATGGCTGCCGTCACGGAGGACAAGTCGCGTGAGGTGACTGCGGGTCACGACGGCACGTGGGTGGCGCATCCGGGTCTCGTCAAGATTGCCATGGACGCGTTCAGCAAGATGTCGGGTCCGAACCAGATCTCGTTCATCCCTGAGGTCGGCAAGGATATCACTGCAGCTCAGCTCATCGAACCCCCGACGGGTGCTATCACGTACAATGGTCTGGTGGAGAATATTGACGTGTCGCTCGTGTACACGGAGGCGTGGCTTCGTGGCAGTGGCTGTATCCCGCTGCATAACAAGATGGAGGACGCTGCTACGGCCGAGATCTCGCGTGCACAAGTCTGGCAATGGATTCGTCACAGCTGTAAGACGGTGGAGGGCAAGACCGTGACGAAGGATTTAGTGCTGGACATCCTGAAGGAGTGTGTCAACAAGCGGTCACTGAATGCCCTCCGGGCAACAAGTGGGCGCTCGGAGGCGAGATCATGGGCAAGGTGCTGACAGGAGACGACATGGTGGACTTCCTCACGCTGCCGTGCTACCCGCGCATTGTGCAGCTCGGATCGAGCATCTGAAGCTAAGGTCCCATCGCTGCAAAGAGCATCCTGGCATGCCAAGGACGAGCTGACTGAGCGATCCGAGCAGTAGGAATGTTGGGCGGTGGGACTTTTTGGTCATGACACGATGGAGAGACAGAGAAGCATTGAGTGTATGGGTCTTCGGTCAATTGCTGAAGGGGAGGGAGATATTATATAAATGAGTTCAACACGAATTATTCACAAGCAACTTGTGTACTACTTTTCAGAATCGTTTTAACTCTTTGAAGCGGTCGTTGCTCTGTGCATCCAGATCGCCATTCTGCCACCACATTTGCAACACGGAGCTCTTGTGTTTCTTGTAGTAGTTAGTAATAAGTGACTACGTACATGTACTTAAAGTAGTAGCAGCTATATCATACCGGACGTTAGCCCGTAATTTCTCCTTGCGGTCGGTCTTGATGGTATCGGTCGCTGCACTGCTGTCGCTTCTGAAAAGCTCTTGGAGAGGTCGATTGCCAGTCCTAATGGAACGACGTTCTTAGCCTCCTCGATAAGGAAGATTACCGTACTGAAGGAAGGTCGTTGAACCGGGTCAGGATCCCAGCACGCTTTCATGATTCGGTGCAAAATTTCGGGGATGTGAGGTAAAAGCCCAGGACGTAGATCCTCATGGGCTACGAGGTAGGCTAAGTTGATTGCATCTTTGTCCAGATACGGCTTCTTGAAACAGAAGAGTTCCCTGAGGACAGAAATCCGTAAGAATACAAATAATGTATCTAGTGGAGACCTGCAGCTATTTCGTACCATAGTACGATTCCGTAGGAGTAAACATCGATCTTCTCAGAGTAGTCTTCGCCTCGGAAAACCTCCGGTGCTAGCCACCGCGGCGTGCCACACATTGTCTGTGCATTGGTGTTTTTGTCGAGACTGCGCGAGAGGCCGAAATCGCTTAATTTACAGCGAAAATCTTCCGTGATCAAAAGATTTTCTCCCTACACAGACAGAATTCATTATCAATGAATCGCATGACCGCGTGCACAGAGGTTTTGCACGCTAACACCTTGATATCGCGGTGAAGGACTGCTGGATTAAGCGCATGGAGGTAGGCGCACGCTTTTGCGCAGTCCAACGCGATCTCGAGCGTGAGTCCCCACGTGATATTTAGCTGTTTACTGCGAGCAAGTCGAAGAAGATCTACCAATGAGCCAGCACAAAGCTCCGTCAGAAGACACAGCGTCGGTGGCTCCAACACGGCACCGAGGAACATCACAATGTTAGGATGTTGCAAGATGGAAAGAATGGATAACTCGTTCTTAAAGTCTTGGACAGTCTTTGCAGAATATCGCTGAGCCAGTAGTCGCTTCAGCGCTACGTGCTTCCTTTTGTAGAACGCCTTGTACACGACACCAAAGGTACCCGTGCCAATTTGACTCTCAATCTCAATATCTTCGAAAGGAACTTTGAGACCAAAAAATGTAGAGCTATCGAGCCGTCTGGAATCTGTGATCGGGTTCACGCGGTGCTTCTTCTTGGACAATGCCACGTAAACAAGGGTTCCAGCTTGTGTTGTTGATTGAAAGTGGTGCGTCAGTGGCGACACTGTCACGGGCTCGCGTGAGAATAAGCTACCCATGAGATATGAAGATGCGGTGAAGATATACGATTGAGAAGTACTGCAGTGAAGCAATAAACCAGCAGGAGGGGTCGTAGTGTAGCGATTAAGACTCGCGAGGTGGGCGACGGCTAGCACACGCTGTTCTCTATTTCTAATCCAACGTATTTTCGTCGAGGACTTCCTTATACAGACGGAATAAGAGTTTTTTTAATCAAAGAATATAAATTTGAATATGTTTTATGAATGATCAAGCTAATGTGCGATCGGATAGAAATGTGCTATGTCTAAGCGGTGGACAAGTTGAACCTTCGTTGAGTTCTGCTTACACGTCGCTAATAATGCCCGGCTCGCCTACATTCGAGGCAACTAGCACGCTTGGGCGATTTTCATCAACCTTATCCTTGCCTGACGATCGTGTATTGTGCGCCGCAAGATTTTGGATTGTTCGATTGATACCAATTGCCGCTAATGCCACAACAATGACTACTCCAGCGCAAGCTGCAGCGATAGCAATCCATTGGATGGTCCCGCTCATGAAAAACTTCGGAGTACCCTCATTCGATGCTTGCGTTTCTACTGAAATACTTCCAGCTTCAGTGTAGAGAGACCCAGTGTTACCTGCACCACCCGAGAAAGAACTTGCGTCTGCAGTGGACGGAGACAAACCCGAAAGAGCATATGCCACACCGGTACTGTTTGCAATCGCACAGTACTCCAAATACTCCGAAACGTTTGTCGGAAACCTCTTGCAGTACCGACAGCCTTCATTACCGATACATCCGGACGCCAGCCCCTCAGGACAGTGAGCTGTATCAAGGACGACTCCAATTCCTCCAGCCGCTTGACCATCAGCTAGTGACACGTTCGCACAAATATCATCGGTCTGCACCAACAAAAATTCTTCCGACTTGTGGAGAGCAACTATCCGTTCCGCCGAGGTAGATTCCAATGTGTCGTCCGTGACTATCACTTTGAAAGCAATGTCTGCGCCGGTATCAGAGACGGGAATGTCGGAGCAGCTCATGTACGAATACGATTGTGGTGTCTCGAAGCGCTTGCAAAAGCGGCAGATGCTGTCCAAGCAGCCTACACCTCCGTCACCACACCGCATATCCGTGACGATGTCTAACCCGAGGCTTTTATCACCGTTAGACGCGGTTTGATAGCAATCCACGGGAATAGAGTAAATGGGACTCGTGGACGTCGGGGTTGTCACAGGAGCGACAGTGGCTGGTGGTGAGCTGATCGATGTTAAGGAGTAGTCTGAGCAGCTCCCGAACTGTGCTGACTGATCCGTCAATTTAGTTTTGCAGTACCGACAAATGCTGTCGATGCAGCCGAGTCCACCGTTAGCACAGCTCGTATCCGTGATAATGTTGATGCCAACGGAGGCATCACCGTCCGACACTGTGGTCGGGCACGTCTTCGTTATAGCCGTTGGGGCCGTTGTAGTGGATGGACAACTACTCAAATGTGCAGATTGTTCAGTGTCTTTAGTCTTGCAATAGCGACAGACAGAGTCAACGCAACCGGTGCCGCCACTCGAGCAACTAGTGTCCACGACTTAGAGTAGCTCACGTTATAAAGGAGGCGCTCCTCAATCTTGCCCGTGTGCTCATTCACCATTTGCATGTGCACGGTGACCACCGTCGCCGCCTCGTTGGTGCCATTGCAATTCCCAAACTCCGTAACCGAGTCTTCATGTAGTTCAGTGAACAAGGTCATACCGCTTGAGACATTTGTTGCGCACCGCTGTCC